TGTATACCGTAACTATCTTTAAAATCTTACAACCATTTAAAAAATAATAAGATGTTGTTGTGTCTAACGAAGTATTATGATATTGTAAATTTATGGTAGAATCAGGTTTTTATGCATTACATCCTTACTCAAAAAGGATTGTCACATTTGATACACAAGTCAACTGGAGTACCTTAAACCTTACATACTCATTCCACATTTCATGTTTATATATGAGATGGGAAAATAGTTTTTATGGCTATAGGTACGATTGTCAGCAGATATCGTTCAGAATTATATCCATTCAAGCACCAAAAAAACTGCACAAAATGATTTTCTGGTTGATGGAGAATCAAGTCATTAAAATAAGCTCAGTCCAGATTAACTTTAATACTAACTAAAAATTTTTATATGTTTCAACAAAATGAAGCAAAACATCACATCACATGATTTGTGGAAGAACTTCCTTCTGTGTTCAACAGACGTTGAATTTGTAAAATTATGAATATTAAAAAAAAATTTTAAAAAGAACAAATTTTAATACATTTAATGTCATTAAAATGATCTTTTGTAGCACTATTTTGTAATATGGTATTTAAAAGGTATAAAAGAGATTTTATCACATTGTATTTGGCGAGATTTTTGATACAAAATATATTAACCCTAAATTTAAGAAGGCATACTAATAGCAATTCGATTGTGCTGCTTATAATACTAAAGAATTGATTATATGTAAAAAGGTTAAACATTTGCTTAAATATTAATGTTTTAATTAATCGCCACTAAAAAATAATTAGTTTAAATAAATTTAATCATTTTATTGATATGAAAGTGAACTTGTATTAGTAAAAAAAATAGTTTAAGATTTACTAGGTTTTGTCTACAAAGTTTTTAAATTTTTATATGATATTCCACAATTAAAAATGCTTTAAGGGATTTACAACCTAAAACGCTTTAACAATTGCATACCACAATCAAAAATAACCTAAGAATAATTACGGGATTATTGACCGATCACTGACATTAAATAATCATCTATCGAAGTTAAAAATAGAGAGACACTGCATAGCATGTGCTTGGAGAGTGCCCGGCACTGATGCACAAGCAGAAGAAACACCTAGGATGGTATTTCATGGATCATAAGGATCCAAGACTAGAAAAGATAAGCTTTATACTGTCTTTCATTAAACAAATCGGACTTGAAGAAACACTCTAATCCGACTAAAAGACACAATAGATCTTTTAGGTCGTAGTGCACTTTCCCTTCTTTTCAATAATAATATGATATTTAAAATCGATACGCACATGTCTTTTATCAACTTAGAGAGATATTTCCTGACTAAAATAAAAGTATCAGATGCAATGTAAAAAAATTATAAAAATATTGAGACTTTAAGAATAAAATCGTCTAACTCTTAAAATTTTACAATTATTTTTATTTTATTTTATAGTACATATAGTCATATCATAGTACATATACGTTATGACATTTGTATTGTATAAATATGTGCACAGCGTTAAATAAATTTGGCCGAAATTTTTCATTTGAATCATTCCATTAAATATTGACACTGGAACCAACTGAGTAAACTCTCAAGGGAGATTGTAGTATTAAATTGTGCGATACATTTTATTATACAATTATTGGTGTACCATAAGAGCAACTGATGCGATGAGTAGTTTTTAAATATGTTTTTGGTATTCGTCGCAGTCAAACAGATACTTGACTAGTCTTCATGTTCATCTCAAAATTGATCTGCATCTCACGTTTCTTCCTCGATTATATGAGTTGAATTATTTAAATTTTTATCGGCACAACATAAAACTAAATCCTTTTTATAATTATTAATAGCTTTCTCTAATATCGGCTCAAGTGGTGAGTAAACCGATCGGGAACGTAGGCGCGCTTTAGCCATTTCTAAGGACTGTACAAAAGTATCATAACAATTTATTACTGAATTAATATTTTTAAAAATGTATATACTACCTTTATGATATCGGCATTATATATTATGGTTTCCTTACAATCCAATCGTTGTTTAATCTTGCTGTTAGAGTATGCTGACTGTAATGTATTTAATTTTTCCAAACTCTTTTCTTGCTTTTTTCTGAAATTTCAAGTTTGTTTTATTATGTGATAAATATATGCAAATATTTTAAAATCTCAGTACAAATTCATATTCCAAATTAAGTTAGGCACGGAAATCTCCTAAGAAAGATTTTATATCTAGAAACATACTAGAAAATATTATTTTTATTTTTAAACCCAAATTTAAACAAAAGATGTTTGTGTAATTTTTTAGTGCTTGTTGGTAAACATTGCTGTAGACATTACATATCATAAAGCTGCTGGCTAACACATGTCGTTAATTTTTATATCCATACTTATATTAAGATTATTAGAACAGGGAACTATGCGAAATCGGAAAGTAAACAGCTTTTCAAAAATTGATGTGTGTGCGCTATGGATCTCTCGTTTAAACTTATTATGCGTTTTTGTTGATTTGCTTTATTGGTAATAGAAACGGAAGATTTACTGATACATAAAATACCCATGTTGCTACTTATCTCATTTAGGCAGTTTTGTTCATTGAGGTTGCTAATGAGGATAATTTACCAAACAAAGAGCTTTCATATAAATAATCTCATTACAAAAAAATCAACTCATTTAAGGCGAAAAATGTATGCAACCTTAAAAATAAATTTTTTCACAAGAGAAATCAATCAGCAAAATTTTAAATATTTGTCATATATTTTAAATGAAAATTTAAAAAAATTAGACATTTCACATGTACAAATCAATTGATGCCAAATCTTAATCTCATTAACATAAGTAGTTTTATAGCACATTCACACTGTCTCATTTAGGCGGTTTTGCTCATTATAGCCACTAATGAGGATGAATCACCACACAAAAATTTTTCATATAAATTAGCTCATTATCAGTAAATCAGCTCGTTGAAAGGAAAACTGTTGAATGCGCCCCTTAAAAATAAATTTCCCACAACAGCTGAACTATAAACTAAGGCATTGAGAAAGGAAGAATAAATATTTCGGTTTTATTAATTGAATATATAATTGATTGTCATTTTATATATGAATATTTCAATTATAAATTTAATTTTTTTGTGTGATATTTTATTAAGTGAAGTTTATAAAAGTTCTACTAAGTGCATAAATGAGCTCATTAAAATGTGAATGCTTAATTATTAATATAAATGAGCAACTACTTAAATAAGGGACTGTGAATGTGCTATCAGCTGCACTGGAAATTGACTCACTATTCCTACTTAAAATAGTAAAATCATTACATG